GGGCGCCGGGGGCAGGAGGCGGCGGCGGCGGCGGCCCAGCGCCAGGACGACGCCGCGCAGCGCCCGACGCGGACCACTTTCATGCTGATTCCCCCGGACCCGGGCAGCGCTCCGGCCACTCCGCGGGCCGCTGGCCTCCGCCCCGGCCTGCCCGGCTCTCTGGGCGCGCCCGAGACCGGCGCTTCTGCTCTCCTAGTCCTCCTGATTTCGATGGCTTTCCTGAATGGCTGACTGTGGGCTGCCCTGGACTTGGCCCCCGGACAGTCGCCTCTCCTCCTCCTCTTCCTCCTCCTCTTCCTCCTCCTACTCCAACTCCTCGGCTGCACACCAGCTCTGAGAGCGAGAGAGTGAACGAGAGAGGGAGGGAGAGAGTGAGAGCGAGGGAGATCTTTGGAGAGATCTTTTTTTTTTTTTTTGCCTCCTACTTCTGTCTTGAAGCCAGACAATCGACTTGCAGCTCTCCCTCCCCTCCCTCTCTCTCCACGTTCTGCTCCCACTTGCTCTCCCCTGGCCCCGTCCCCTCCCCTCCCGGCGGAAAGCCCCCCGAAAGCAACAAAGCTGAACCGAGGGAAACAAACAAAACAAACATACCGGGCCAGACAAGCAATCGACAAAACTTTGCAAAAGCAGAAACAAAAAAGGAAAAACTAACCAACCTCATCCAACCAGCCCCCGAGCCACCCGGGGCGCCCTCCCGCGCCCTCTCGCACCCTTGCACACACAAAAGGCGGCGCGCCGGAGCCCGAGACCCGGGAGCCGCCGCCGCCCGCAGCCAGGGGAGCAGGAAGTCCGGACGCGGCCCCCATAGATATGGCAATGGTAGTCAGCACGTGGCGCGACCCCCAGGACGAGGTGCCAGGCTCTCAGGGCAGCCAGGCCTCGCAGGCGCCGCCCGTGCCCGGCCCGCCGCCCGGCGCCCCGCACACACCACAGACGCCTGGCCAAGGGGGCCCGGCCAGCACGCCGGCCCAGACGGCGGCCGGCGGCCAGGGCGGCCCTGGCGGTCCGGGCGGCGACAAACAGCAGCAGCAGCAGCACATCGAGTGCGTGGTGTGCGGGACAAGTCGAGCGGCAAACACTACGGCCAGTTCACGTGCGAGGGCTGCAAGAGCTTCTTCAAGCGCAGCGTGCGGAGGAACCTGAGCTACACGTGCCGCGCCAACCGGAACTGTCCCATCGACCAGCACCACCGCAACCAGTGCCAGTACTGCCGCCTCAAAAAGTGCCTCAAAGTGGGCATGAGACGGGAAGGTATCGGCCTCTCATTTCTAACCCCCTCGCCTGGGGTCCTGGGGCCCTGGGTGCGTTTGGCTAGCCTGCTCTGGGTAAGGACACAGAAGCCCCAAGCTCTTCTCTCCGTATTGCAGCTGAAGGGGGTTTTATACTAGAAGCAAGTTCTGCACTGGAACCCAGACCCCCAAATCCGCATGCTTTGGCCGACTGATTTCCTCCTCTACTCTCTCCTCGGGCTGTTTTCATTTTCTTTGCATTGATTGCCAGTTCACTGGAGTTCGCCTTTCTGCAGGGGATGGGGTGTTGTTGTTTGTTGTTGTTTTAAAATCTGGTTTACTTCTCTTTCCTCTGTTTCTCTCCCTTTCTCTCTCCTTGTTTTTCCTGCATGTTCAACATATGTCCCTCCTCCTCACCCCTCTCCCCAGCCCCCACCCTCTCAAAAAAAAAACAAACCCTGAGATTGTACTTTTGTACAGGAGGTTCAAATTACAAATGGCAATTTTATGCACTTCGCCGTATTAACGCCGCCGCCCGGGCAGCGCTCATGTGACCCTCCGTGGATTAACATTCTGCTAAAAAGAAAAAAAATACCTCTGTTTTCTTTTTTCCTTTCACTTTTGAAAGGAGGAGAGCGCGATCGGGAGTAGGGAAAGGGTGGGCGAGGGGCCCTGGGCGGCTGCTTTCGCCCTGCGCGAGTTGAGTCTTTGTGATATGAAATTCGCCGAGCGCCGCGAGCCGTGTTCGGCCAATGGCGCGCTCGGCGCCGGGCGCGGGCTCCGGGTTGGGGCGAGCGAACGCCGGGCTTTCTTTGTGTTTCTGCGAGAGCCGCTCTCCCCGTCCGGCGTCAGATAGCAGCTCGTGCCCGAGCCTGGCCGGCTTTCCCCGGCCCTCCCGGGCCCTCCCCAGGCTGCGCCGGCCGCCCGCTCCCCGCCTCTCCCCAGCTTCCTCTCGCCTCGGCCGGCCTGCCTCTCCGCCCTCTCCCTCCGTCTCTCTTCCTCCGAGCACACTGGTTAGGCTGCCGCCAGACCTCGGCTCTCAGCTCGTCTCTCACCGGGGGTTGCCCCGACGGGGCTGGGGGCCTTCGGGGTTTGGGGAACCCGTTCCGGGGTGGCCACAGGCCGTCGGGGTGAACCCTTGTGTCTTT